CGGGTTCTGTCTCCTATCAATCTTATTTTGTCATTATTTTACTTTAAAGGTAAATATTCTAAATATTATTAAGGTAAGTGCCTAACGCTCTTTTGAAAAAAAAAAAAAAACTTATTCGGCGCAATTTTTGCCTTCCCCAGGTAGGGCCTTCGGCCACCACGACGGCCTTCACCGAGCCGTGCGGCTGCCTTCCAGAGACTCGTCAGAAGTGGTGGCGGCCTTTTCTTCGAGTGAGGTGGCGGGTTCTTCCTTGGTTTCGCCTCCAATTAGGTCGGCAAGGTGGGTTGCGGTCTGGCGATTCCTCGGCGTCTAGGCGGTGGTGGGCTTCCGACTAGGCTGTAAGAGTAGGTTGTGACTCCAATCATCCCTTTGGTGGTGGTTGGGGTCGATATCGGACAGTTCCACTCTCCTTCCTTCTCCCGTTCTTATCTGCAATTGGGGCCAGTTGGGTTGCGGTGGCGGAGTCTGGTCGGGTTTGGTCTTGCTTCCTGGACCAAGGTCATCGGGATTTGGAGGTGGAGTTTGTTGTGTTTCTCTGGTTGTGGGTCTATGGGTTGTCTACTCGGGCGAGGGTCAAGGTCCTTTCGTCTCGAATCTGGTTAGGCGATTTTTCTGTAGTTTCTGACTTTGCGGCTTGGATCGTGTCTCTGTCCGTGTGAGTGGTCGCCCGTAGGTGTCGACGTCGTTGGTGTTCAGTCTTGTTTCGCTGCTGTGGGAAGGGCTCCAATTTATTTTTTTTATGTTTTGTTGTTGTGTATGTGTTGTGTTGTGTTGTGTTGTGTTGTGTTTTAAGCGTGCGTTTATGTTTTTTTGTCCGTTTTTAGGAGTGTTGATTCTTCTGTTGGGGAGTTTGTATTTTCTCGTTGGGAAGCGAGTATTCTCCCATTGGGGAACTTTTTGTGTGTTTGTGGTGTTGTGTTGTGATGTGGTGTGTTGTGCCATTTAGGCTACCTTTGGTTGGCCTCCCTTTTCGGCTAGTGAGTCGTTTGTAAGTATGTGAGTTGTTTGTAAGTATGTGTTTGAGTAATNATTACTCTAAATGACTTGTGGCGAAAATGGGATCCACGAAATAAAATATAACTACCTATTTAAAATAATTTTAATGTAACTAAAATTAGTAAATTTTGTAATTTTGAAATAATTAAGAGTACATTCTTTTTAAATTAAGTGTCATTTATAATATTTGTTATAGTTTTTTTTTTTTGCCATAATTTATTTAGAAATTGAAATAATATTATAATTAAGTATGAGTAAAGGAAGAGAGAGAAAAGTATTTATGTGAGTATTATTTCTTGACAATGTTTGAATATGTTAAATTTTTATTTTCATTAGAATAACAATTATTCTATAACGGGTAAAATACACATATAAATCATATATTAAATATTATATATCATAAAAAAAGAAATATAAAATTTAATGTTAATATTTTAAATTAATTTTATATTAATCAATATTCATTGAGTGTTTTAATTTACGATTTATCGTTATCGACCTATGTATCGTAGGTGCTACGTAATAATAATTTATATAATAGGTAGTAATTAAGCGATACATTTACTTTATCAATTAGAAAATGTGATCATAGGTTACTGTAAATGACTTGGAGAGAAAATGGAATTCACGAAATAAAATCTCACAGCATAATTATTCATCTATTATGTTTTTAATTGATTTTACATGTCTTAAATAATTACATAATGTGATTAATTGTTTGAAGATGAAATAGAATGTGATGTGCTTGAACAAAAAATTATAAACTACAAAAATTGTAAAGAAATGTTGCTTCATTAATATTAAATAAAAATTAAAATATTCTGGAAACTTTTATGATGAATCAAAATACTGAAATAGTATCATTGAATCCTATTAAATAATATAAATTCTATAACTTTTATATTGTCTAATTCAAGGATATTTTTAGCAAAGCAATTTGAATTTTAGTCAAAATTTAATGCAAAAATCGGATTTACACCTAAGATTATCTTAACATTGATCTATTTTAAAAACTATGATACTGATATTAGTTAGTTATTAAGTTCTTATAAAATTACAATCAATATAATTTTAGTTTTGAAATTACTTTTGAAAATTTCACAATCTTAGTTATGTATCAACAAAAGGTTAATGTAAGCATGCCAAAAATAATCACAAAATGCCTCATGAGTCAACAAGTGTCAATATTTCTCAATGTTTGATAGTTTGTATGGTGAAGTTATGGGGGACATAAAGATTACACAAACATATCCCCAAATTGTGAAAGTGTACAAATTAAGTTGAACTTTATCTAACATATTAGTTTACCTAACCTATGTAAGGTGCATGTACATTAATTTACCTTATTAACATCACTAGCTAGCTTATATGGCATTATATATTCCTAACAATATGACTAGACATTAATCGAAAAAAATGCACTATTCATCCACTAATTATATCCTAGTTGTACTTTCGTCCTTTTATTTTTCGAGTTTATTTTTGGTATGCTTTTATTTTTTTTGGCAAAATTTGTCCAAATTGAGATTCCGGCGCCCATTTTCGTCGGAAATGTTGATGTGGCGTCCAGTCGGATCCATTTAGGATTTTCCGGCGTGATGTGACATCAGACCTGCCTAGTTGTTTTGACACCTAGATTAAAATAATAAAAAATTTAAAAAAAACAATAAATAAATAAAATAACAAAATTTGACCCACCCTCCCAAAATCCATCTCAATGAACACCGCGACGCCCATGAATCCAGCATAAATCCACCGCCGTATTTTGCAGATGCCAACGCCAGAATCACGAGGGTTTTGGGCCTCAAGTTGGAGAATTTACGGAGGGCGATTGCTTGCCGAGAAATGAAGAACGAGAGCTTGATCTGTGTCAGTCAGTATTGTGCAACTCGTCTAACACTAATGTGCATGGAATTGCAATTATTTTTTTAATGAATTATCTCAAACCAAAAGAATTTATTTGATCAGTTAACCTAATTTATCTAAATAGTCAAAATATTTTATGTTATAAAATATATTTAGAATTTCAATATTTTTATTTAATTTTTTATATTATTTTTCGATTGTAATATGTAACAAAATAATATATGTTTATAAAGTTCGGTCGGTTTGGTCACTATATTGCAATTTGACAATCAGTAATCTGCATTGTGCCTATCATAAATGTGCATTCAAAGTATAAATGTTTTTCAATGATTCATCCCAAACCAAGTTAAAATCGAGATAATCGGTTTAGTTGATCAGTTAACTGAAATAACCTAAATAAAAAAATAATTTATAATATATATTATAAAAATATATTTAGTACTTTTAATATTTTTATTTAATATTTCATATTATTTTTAGTTGTAAAACAAATAAAAATTTATACATATAATTTGTTTATATAGTTCAGTTGCTATAGTGCAATATGGCAATCATTAATGTGCAATCTCTCCAGTAATAATGTGCACTAGAATTGTAACTATTTTCTATGACAACATATTTGATATTTATTATGTTTATTTAATATTTTATAGTATTCTTCGTTGAAACTAAATAATATATATAAAAAAATTTAAAATATAAACCTGACATCGAACCGATATAATTGAAATTTAAAAGTAAAAAAATAAATATTCGGACCGACATATAAAAAAAGCTCGAATAATAAATTTTAGTGCAATCTCACGAGAACAAAAGTGCAACATGTCAATCATTAAAGTGCAATTTGTCAAACACTACTATGCACAATTTTCTCCGCTATTGTACAGTGTGAAAGGATCGAATTTTTCTCCAACCCAATTGAAACCTAAGACTAATGTACATTTCAATTTTAAAATTTGTAATAATGTTTATTTCAATTAACATAATGTGTGCTTATCAAATTATTTATATTATAATTTTTAATTATATTTAGTGTTTATATTTTTATTTAATATTTTAGTTTATTGCTTTTTCAAAATAATTAATATATATATATACAACTATAATATATAAATAACATTAAATATGATATTTTAAATTAACATATAAGAGCCCATTAAGTCTTGAAATCCTCAATCCACCAACATCACATCTATTAAACTGTAATATTTAATACATGTGTAGTTCAAATTTTCCATAATGCAAAGTCTCTTTAAATTGTCTACTCCATAAAAAATTGCCCAAATTCTTATGATTTCAAGTGCACCGTTTATGGACTTTACTGTCCATTTATTTACTTTCAGGACACCAGTGCCATCGGATCTCGACGGAGGACGGCAGCTGAAGATGACGGAGGAAGACAACGGTAGTCGACGTCGGGTCGACGACGATGGCGGCGGGGAGGATCGGACGGCGTCGAGCAGAGCGACGGTGCCGTTTGGATGGTCGAAGAAGACACTGGTGGCAGTGCTGTGGCGCGGCGCTGTAGGGCAGCTAGCCGGAGGCCATCAGTGACATAGGACTACGGTGGGGCGGAGGAAGACGATGGCAGAACTCAAACAAGTTTCCGGCATGACATCAGCGACATAAGACTTTTGGCAGCGGCGGACAAAATATTAGGATGTAGGACGACGGCGGCAACGCCGCCAGAGGTGGCCGATGGAAGCTAGCTGATGACTCTGTGAGTGACAGTGTGTGTCGTGCAATATAGTGTGTGAGAGAGAGAGTGACGGGAAGAGAGTGTATGGCGGCGGGTCTGAAGCAGTGTTCATGGGTGGTGAACGTCGGTGCCGGCTCTGTGTAGGTGTGGGTGCGTCCCACTGATGTTGGTGGTTGAAGAAAGATCACATTACCCTTAATGTGTTTAAAATTTTAATTTTTTTTTAACAGTTGGATGACCAGAGATTTATTCTTAATTTTTTTACTAAGTACCATTATCACTTGAACTCAACCATGTTTATGTATATATCTCAACAATAATACATTAACCGTCACCCATACGTCATCGACTCATGCACAACAGGTCTAATATTGGCGCCATATTTAACTAATTAATTTTCTCCTCACATATTTATATAATAATTATTAATCAAAATCTATTAAAAAGTTGCACCACTCTTTTCCAGCGACACCCCGCCGCCGGATTCATCCCTAACCTCCACCGCCACGTAATCATCGTCCACCGGATTCACAATCCCGCGGTGGAGCACCGATAGATTTTCCGGCGGATCCCCAAAACAGGCTTTCTCGGAAAATTCGTGAACCAAGACTGATATCTCATCCACGATAACCGTGACGTCAATTAAAATGGACGCTATTACCAGCAGCGCCATGATCTGGCGGAGACGGCCGGCGGATTTCGCATCCGACGACTGGGGCGCGTCTTCCAGGGCTGTCGTGAGGTCGTGGGATGCCGCTCGGTAGTTCCGCGCGTGGGCTTCGACAGCGGCGCGTGGAGGAAGCGTGGAGTTCTTCATGGCGGTGGAGAGGTGTCGTAGGGCCTTGCCGGCCTCTGTGCTGATGGCGGCGATAGGGTTTTGGATTCTTGTTTGGAGCTTCGATAAAGCTACCTGCGACTGCGAGGGGTAATAGAGTCATTTTTCGAATTATGGTAGACATAAAATTTTGATTTACAAAAGCATAAGAGCATCTCCAGCGCTACGCCAGATTGCTCAATTACGCTAGAGTTTTGCAAAATCCATTCTCCAGCGTTGCGCTATATTTACGCGCTACATGAAAGATATACTATTCATTTGCTGGTCTTATTTTTTATTTGTTTTTTCCTTTTTGATATCAATTATATAATTTTTTATATAGATTACTACATTGCTTTTTCTTTTTCTTTTTCTTTATGTATAATGTTTTTAATGAAATACTTTTTTATAATGTTTTTATAATATAAATCTATAGATTATTAAAAATTGATAATTAATCATAATTTTGTTTCAAATTTATTATTATAAATATTAATGCTAAATAAAATAATCTTGATATCATTTAAAATGGTGCCATATGAATAAAATTTTAACACATACAAACAAGAGATTTCATTAAAACTAAAAGTTTACAACAAACGAAAATCATAAAATATACAAATAAAAACAACATAATAAGTCATAAAATACACAAATAAAAATGAATAAAAAAATAATATATTTGATGTAGAGTTAAATGTAGAGATAAGGGCTGGAGACAAATGTTTCACTCTACTCTAAAGTAGAGTAAAATCCGCGCTAGAGTAGAAATAAGGGCTTGAGATGACCTAAGTTTTGAATTTTTTAAAAATAAGTAAATAAATAAGTAAAACTCACCGCCTACATATAAGACTAAACTATAATTACTAAAAAATTAATATAAATAATACAAATGGTGTTGTAGGGCTGACTAGTAATCAGGCAATATATAATTATAGTAGAAATATATTCTTATAGTACCAAAAATTATAATTTTATTTACATTATTTTTTAAAATATGAAAATATATACCTGTATCATAAAATATCATAATTTTGTTTACATTTAATGCAATATGTAATATGTTAAAAAATTGTGGTTATCTAACTATTTAGTAACCTAATAGAATGTTGGAAGTTTTATAAAAATACTGTTACTTTAACACCAAGATTAATTTTCATTTTTCCTAATAATTAATTTTATTTTGAACATAAAAACAAAAGATATAAAAGCTATTATACCTACCTGAGATTTTGAGTTTATACAAGTATTAAGTGCCTCAATTAAGCATGCACACTCCCAAACAAGAGCCCCAATCTTCAAATATTGTTTCCATGGATGACCAAATTTAAATTGACCATGAGGAGGCTCCCACCAAGCAAAATTTGCCTGAAAAAAATCAACCAAGATAATTAATATTTTACTTTACTCAATATTAAATAATAATCAATAAATAAGTAATATTATACAGTAGTAGCACAATATTGAACCGTTATACTTTTTTAGCAAATTCATTTACTTTTAAATTGAAAATACACACTCTAACAAACAACAAGAACAAAAAGTATAATAATTTATAACATAAGCATGTAATTTTGTTATAAATTACGTAGAGTCACACAAGATTTTTTTTAACAAATATGCATACTTTTAAATTGAAATATCTAAAATCAACAACATAAATAAAAATATAACATTTATAATATAATTAAATAGAAATTATTTGTTATTGGAGTACTATAAGTGTATAGCGGGTTAACCTAATTAACGGTTATTCGAATGCCTAAGAGGTGATTGTTTATGCATTCAATTAGTTTTTATTTATTTGTTTTTTAACTATACTTGATTTAAAAAAAATGGTATATTTAGTTGTTAGTGGATATATTAAAATAATATTTAAATAAAATAATTGAAGTTGAATTGATATAATGTAAGAGAAAAATGATTGGAAGTGATAGTTAGTTAAAATTATGTGAGTGGATGAATAGTGAATTAAAGTTGATGTGATATATAAAAATGATTGATTGATAATATTTAATAATATTGATAATATGGGAGATAGAGAAGTTGAATAAAAATTTAGTTAAATTTGAATTTTAATTAATTTTTTTACTGTACAAATCATAAACAATCGTCCGTTGATTAACTGTTATTCGATGCCACTTAACAAAAATGTATATATATTATATATATAAGACAAAAATAAATAAATAAAACAATCACCAAAGCTTCCTCGTTGGCCTTGGAATTAATCACGCTTTTATAGCTCTGCAGAAATGACTTGTCATTTTCCTTGGAAAAAGTGTTGCTACTTTCATTCCCTTGACAAAGTAAAAGTTCACCGCCAAAACCTATAAAAAAGAATAACAAATAAATAATAAAATCTGCCCACTAATTTGGGTTAATGCCAATTTTTTCCAGTAATTTTTGTGATTGGAGAAAATGCCTACGAACTAAAATATTCACAATATGTTAATAAGTGCAAAAAATATGAAAAAATTATCCAATAATTAATTGCAAAAGAAGTTCAAGTTATAAACTTAGACTGTAAAAAATCAATCAAAATTTAAATTTAACCTAACTTTAACAAGATCTCACTATTTTCAATATATTCAATATAATTAAATAATATCAATCTATCATTCTTGCACATTACATCAGCTTTAATCATTATTTATTCACTCAATTTTAACTAACCATCATTTTCAATCATTTGTTTCTTGCTTTTACATCAAATCAATTTTAATTATTTAATTTTAAGTAATGTTTTAATTTAAACTTTAATTTTCACTAACAACTAATTATATCACTTTTTTTTTTTTAAATTTAACTATGGTTAAAAAAAAACACCAATCAACAAACAATCAAATTTATATCCAATCACACACTCATATGTTTCCGCAAATGTCACTAATTTGATTAATTTGTTATTGGTTATTTTTTGTAATCACAATATTTACCAGACACAATTGTCATCTACATTCTACCCCAAGTTACTGTGTATATTCTCAATTTCGTTAAATAAAATAAAATTATATTTATTTTATATATATGGGTGTACCTTCTAAGAAAATAGCAAGTTTTTCGATATTGTCAGCCACCAGATTATGCAGATCCTGACCCGCCCAAACTGGGTAAACGAATATGGATATGACCATGCAAGTCGACCCGCCAATAACTATAGTCGAGAGCCTTTGGTGGGCTAATTGCAGGATTTGTTCGACCCGAAAACCCGAGACAGCCACCATTGTGAAGGTGAGTATGAATACGACCACGCCATAATCGTACCTCCTCTTCACGTTAGGGAGAAACCTCGTAAATGTCGATATTGCAGCTGTATTTGCAATAAAATGTACAATTTCAGATTGGTGTAAAAAAAATATTTTAATCAAGTGAATATAATTGAAAATATGCAATCTAGTTTGTCCTATGTATACTTATGTTATAAAGGCAAAATTATAAAATATGGCCAGTAAATCTAGTTTGCCTTTTCTTTTTTCTTTTACTTTTGTAGATTTAGTTAACATGCAATTGCTCATCAAATATCTTTTTTTTTTTTCTTTTTACCTTATGAGTGTAATTTTAAAGCAAATTTTATTTTAGAAAAAGAAAAAAGGTATTTTTAATTATTTTATGTTTACCTAATAAAAAGACTAGAATCCCTAGAACAATAGGTTCTCCTTTTTCTCCACATAGATCAGCCAAATATTCAGCTCCAAGCCCTAATGCACCGGCCACCAGCGTTGCAAAACCTCTGTTCAAGCTTTTTGATAGAGTCCCACCTGAAGAAGAATTAAAAAATCAAAATAAAGAAAAAATTAAATAGATGATTAGATTTTAAATTATGCTTATTTACACAATGCTCTTTTTAGGAGAAAATGAAATGATATTTTAAAGAAGATTATAAGTCAAACAGCTTATATATATACAGAAACTAGCAAAGGTAACACTATATAACAATAAAGAGCTGCGAACAAGTCGAGTCGAATTATCGAGCATGGACTTTGTCAAGCGTAGATCGGTTTTTTTTTTCTTCATTGCTCGAGTTCGACAAGCCATGTAAAAAGGTGTTCGACTCGACTCGTGAAAAAATAAGAATACTCGATGCTCGAGATGGATTGAGTTCGTCTTGAAATTTTAACAACTAAATTTAAATTTAAAAGTACTATTTTTAATCTAACTAGACAATTTGATCTTGATGTTCTAATATTGATAATTAAACTATGTGGGGTGTTTGTGTAAATAAAAAGTCGAGCAGCTCGTCGAGCTTACGAGCCTCTTCAAATAATGCTCGAGACTCAACTCGTTTGCTCGATTGAACTGCTCGAGCTCGAATCAAGCATAGCGCTCGCAAGCGAATTGTGAGCCGCTCGACTCGTTTACAGCCCTAATCATGCACAAACCATAAATTTAATCAAACAATTTGGGACCAATTTTTATGTATATTAATCTAACACAAATTTCTCACCAACTGTGAATTCAAAAACGATGACGACCGTTAGTATGGCCCACATCCCGGCCTGCCCGAACCCATCATAAAGCGGCCGAAAATAGTACAACATGGACACGATCGTTAGGCCTAGCCCGACTTTTGCGCCATGCACGACTCGTCTAACGTCGTCTTCCCCGACTTTCTTGGCTGTCTTAATACTATCCACCACATAGGATTTGAGTTTCCTAGCATTAGTGTTATTGTTGGTCTCCATGGATGAAAGCTCTTAAGAGAAAAGAAAAAAAAAAAGCAAGAAAATTGTAAAGGAAAAAGATTGTGTTAAGGAGAAAATGAGAGAGTTAAGGATGTGAATGTGATGAGTTTTTTGGTGGTGGGATTGCCATTTATATAGACAAAAGGTGGAGTTTGGCTATTTTTTCATAAAATTTATTTATTTTGTTATTAGTAATTTAGTATGATTGTGTTGTCATTCACAATTTTTTGTGTTTTTTAGGTTTGGTTGCAATTTATGGAATTTTTTGGAAGTTAAGAGAATATTCATGCTGAGTGGCACGTTGTGTACTTCTTTTTTTCCCCCAACACTAGTCTAAGCATGGAATTTGCAATATGAAACAAAAATAATTATCATGAATAGTTTTATGTTTAAAAAACATAGTACTTTTAGAAAATTAAATGTTAATAACTTTAGGAATAGGTAGAAGTTGTAACATATAAGTATATAAAAGTATGTTCATAATTAGTTCTTATATTATTCTTATTCCTTTCCTTATTACTAGAGTTGTTATATGAAACAAGTTGTCCGTTAACTTCGCTCAAACATATAATTTTTTATGTAATTTTCTTACACTTTTTTATTGTTTAGATTCAATTCGTTAGAGCTCGAATTCGTCTAGAATAGACTGGTTTATACTTAGTTGTTATTAAATAAGATGAATTACATATGTACATGTAAACTTATAAAAAAAAATGGTATGAATTGATAAGACATGTTGTTTATTGATACTTACATGTGCTTGCCTTTATTTTTATTACTATTATTATTTAATTTTTTCCACTCAAAAACCATCAATGTAAAACATGGCTTTGGGAACAAAGTAAACATAGGTGGAACTATTCAAGAATCTGGACAATAATTTAATTAGTGGGGTACAGATTGAAATTGTAAAGCAAATGAATTTCAGGGCCCTTTTGTCTCTTTCTCTCACTCCATTCTTTCTTTTAATTANAAAAAAAAAAAAAAAAAAAATCTACAATATATAAGCACTATAAAAGTATGCTATGACTTATGAGGTTGAAAAGTGCTGCTTTCTACTATGAATTGGCATTAAGATTGTACTCATGTACTTAGACACCCACGTGTCACGTAAACTGCACAACTTATAATGTTAAAATTTGAGATGATTCAATATGAAACTATAAAGACAAACAAACACTAAGGCTATGTTTGGTAAAACTAGCTGATAAGTTAGTTGATAGTTGATAAGTTAGCTTATAACTTATTTGTAATTTTTTAGCTTATAGTTTATGACTTATAGCTGAAAAGTTAGCTTATATGATAAAAGTATTTGGTAAAATTAGCTGATAAGTTAGCTGAAATTAAAAAATTAACTAGCTTATTTGAAAAGCTACCTAAAGTAGTTTATGAGATAAGCTCGAACTTTTTAAAGAAACTCGTCCTACCAAACGAGGCTTATTTGAATACAAGGAGCTTATAAGCTAATCAAATAAGCTATAAGCTAGCTTATTTGGCTTACCAAACACAGTCTAAATATAATTAGTTTACTACAAAATAAAATACACTAAAATAAATCAAGAATACCCAACCCAAACTACAATGAAAATTTTCAAAAGTAGTCTCTCTAACGTGTCAGAATAGTTTCATTGGAAATCAATAAACTAATTCAATTAGAATAACCCACATTTCTATCGAGTTCAATAAAACTACTTTTACTATCCCCATTATATATTTTCGAATGCGCTCAGTCTAAGTGGTAAACTTGTGTGCTTGTAAACTAATTTGGCATAATTTTTTTTTTTTTTCATATTAACACATATTCATGTTTGCTTTTGACTATTAGGCTTGAGAATTACTATAAACTATATTGACTTTCTTTTTTTCTTAAGTTACCATATATTACTGTTATATTTTTTTATTTAATTTATATATTAATTATTATAAAAATGTATCATTTTTATTTTTAAACTTTATAACTTTTTTATTTGTATTTTATTTTTTATATATGATATATCAAAATAATCATATATTAACGATATTCGATTTGATATTCATATTGTATATAATAAATAAAAAATAAATTCATCTATAATTATAAACAAAACAAATTTTCAAATCTATTTGAAAACATCAAATAAGTAAAAAAAATATTTTATAAAAAGATAAATCTAATTCATTAATACACCATAAAATAATCACTGCAATGTTTATTTTTTTTTATAGACTTTGGATAAAATATGGATATTAAGTATTACATAATTTTTTTTTAAGAAATGTTATGAAATATTATTTCTCGCTTTAGATAGATCATATAAAAAAGTTAATGTTATTATGTTGTCTTAAATAATAAATATAAAAGAATGTCCAATTAAATATAATAAATGATTTTATATTTTACAAAGTTAGAAAATAATACATATCTGTGTAAACTAATATTCTAAATTATTAAATTATATGAATTTAAATTACTTGAAAAATTAATAAACGAGAGACACTGACTCTATAAATATAATCTTATGTTGTTTTAAAAAAAAAATTGAATCAAATATATGGAGTTGTAGATAATATTTGGTCTATGCATATATAATTTTAAAAATATAATTAAAAAAATATTATTTTTGAAAAATTTAGTGTAAAAGATACAAGCGCCGTTTGGATTAATTATCAGTTTGTAATTTATTTATTATTATTGTATACTCATTATACATAATTTTATAATAAAAATATAAATTATTTTAGTTTTTTTACCGTACAAATATTATTATATTTAAATATCTGTGTAGTACACAACTATGGTACCAATAATTTAAATTACAATATAAATTACAAGACTAGTTTTGTAATTTTAACTGCAACATGCTAATGTAGTTGGAGTACCATACATTATGTTGAAGATTTTGACTTCGATGTAATTCATATATATATATATATATATATATATATATATATATATACATGCACCTTTCATTATGATTTATGCTTTTGTTAATCAAAGTGAAGGTGTTAAATCCCACTAAGTTAGGTAGACTAAGTTTAATGTTGACAAGCAAGTAAATGGTGTCCGAAAGAAAGAAAGCATATTAATTGCTTGCATTGGATTATATATTATAAAGAGAGAAAAATTGGAATTTGACTATTGTTAACATAGAATTTATGATAAGTTGACTAAGTGTATGAGGAAAAGTACGGTTCAGTATTAGTTAGCGTACGGAGACCCTTGAAATTGAGTTTCTTTATATATATTTAAATTTAAGGCTAACTTACATGTTACCAAGAAATTTCTTGCTATTCCATATTTTTTTTTTTCACCATAAAATGAATTGTTGATATATTTATTTTGGAGGTGGGACATTTTAGCTGACGTTATCCCGTTAAAAACGCAAATTTCACTCTACCACATCCGCATTGGTTAATTTTTTTACTATTCATTCAATAAAACAAGTACACTCTCTTTTTTTCACATCATCTCTACATCATCTTTCCACTAATTCTCTCTCCATTTAAACACACACTCACATCCCTACACATTCATTTAAATACAAATATATGACCCATTATATCCATTCATTCAATATAAACTTTAATATTTTATTCTCAATAAAAATTAAAATTTAATATTTTTAAATTATAATAATAAATTTTAAATGCATGAAAATAAAAGAACACTACAAGACCAAAATAATCTAATTTTTTTTGTAGAGAAGTGTTAAATTTTTTGTGTAGGAGAAGTGTAAGTATGAAGTGTATTTATAGGGAAAAAAAAATGAGGATAAAAAATATAAATAAAAAAATAATAATAAAAAACGCAGCTGAACTAAAAAAATAAATAAATAAAACAAAAAGGCTCAAAAGAGCCGTTAAGAGCAATGAACGGATACATTGGTCCCACAATTAAATGAACGCATGCAGTGGTTGAACGGATATTGAGGCATTTAAATGAGGTGCATTAACGCACCAATGCAGGTGCTCTAAGTTTCTTCAATCTTTTAATTTGTGGAATATCCTATAGAATGAACGTTGGTATAATTTTTAGAAAAATTGTATTACATCTTTTAAAGTCATAAATAACAATATGTAATGTCATAACTGTATTGACAAATACATTTTGTATAATTATCGTTTGATGATGGACTGAAGCTAAACAAGTTGGATTTTGATGAGTGCAAGGAAGAAAATGGCACTACCGATGGGTCTTTCAACCAGAGAGAAGATGCATTCCAATGGTTCAAAGAAAATACGGTTGATAACGAAGAAGTCTCCAATGTCGTTTTCGATGACAACTTTGGTGTTACGTAAGTGAACTCCATTATAGCAAATTAATTTAATGCCAATTTGTTGTATATATTTAATTAATGCATACATTTTGTGCGTGAGTTTATATAGGAAGATACATTCGTGTATTCATTCCTCTTAGTTCAGATTTGCAACAAACTATACGGGTTGCCTAGTTTATAATGGACATACATACATTATATTCAGATACAAATGATTATGGACAAACATTATAAAAATAATTCAAAGACAATTAATTTATATAATATTCTGATATGATATCATATAATAGCTTGGTGGACTGAAAAGTGAATCAAAAGATTGTAATTCGAGTGAGTACCAAGTTAAAAGGATGTACTATCGGTTAGGAACTCGAATGGTGATACTAACGACCTCTAGCTATTCATGAAAGGTCGAAGCATATATTTTACAACCTATAAAAGCTAATCATATATAACTCTACCTTATAAGACCTTTCGATACAAACAATTATGAGAAAATTTGAGAATTAGGTGATGTTTTTTTATATATAAAGAGCTTTATAAAGATACGATTTTGCTATGAAGTCTTTGAATAACACGAAACTATCCTCGATTATCCACAAAATATGTGTACAAATCCCATTCTATAAGTAACACTGATTGATCTCTGTCACTTTATGCAGTGTATTTGATATTGTTTTCCTCTGTTTATCTAGTGAAAGACACACGTGACAATAGAATTTGCTCTCATCTATATTGGTACAAAAGATTTATATAATTCTACAATTGTTCATGTTGTGTGGAAGAGGCTTGTTTCGCATTTAATCTCGAAATTTATCTTCAAATTGATTGAGCAAAGTATGAATTTATTCAATCCTTTTCTCAATTTATCACTACACAATGTACTCTAATGTTGAAGGAAGAAACCTAAAAGGCCGCAAAGTACATATTGGATTCTCCAAACTGAGACCCCAAATTATAAGCAAACTCAAACATGATCTTGAACCATTAAGTTATAGTAATGCATGGAAACATATTGTATTAAACATAGAGTGTTATTCGAGTTGAGTCGACCGAGCACTTCAATGAATTATAGCAATAAATACAAACATATATGTACTAAACATAGAGTGTTATTCGAGCCGAGTCGAGCACAGCACTTCATGTTCGAGTTTAATAAATGATCCAAATGCTTAAACTCGAGCTCGATTCGTTTAACAAATCTAAAACTGCAAGTGAGTTGTTCGCAAGCATGCTCAACTAAGCTCGTTTAATAAACAAAAAACTCAATTAGTTGATCAAGTTCAGCTTGCTCGACTCGTTTAAGCAAAAGAACAAGCCGAAACGAGTTATATTCGTGAACAACTCGATTCAAATAACACATCTAATTACACATCCCCAATAAGTCCATATGGACCATATCAAATAACAAAAATTAAATTAAAAAAAAAAAACAAACAAACAAATAACAATAATTCAAACTCAACCATCATTCCTTACTCAAAAACTAACACATCCCACATAGAAGATACATATTACAACAAACAAGAAAAGCAAAAATTAACATTATTTTTCAAAGAAAAAATCACACATTGTTAGTGTTGTTATTACACTGATTGCCCTCATCGACCAAGCCTAGCCTCCTCTTAGCTACCTTCGACCGATAACACCACACCTCAAACGCCTCGGTCAAATCCGGGTAACCCACATTCTTATTCCCGAGCCACTCGGTCAAGATCTCGCTTTGACTCTCGGACGGCAAGGTCGAGATAATTGACACGAATCCCGACTCGAGCGACCGCCAAAGCTCCCCATCCGCTTTCATCACCTCATCATCATCATCATCATCGTCAACACATGCCACGCTGGCGCAATCGACCGACAACTTCACGTCCCTTGCAAACGGGACCCACGTCCTCACCACGTGGGCCCGCCTCGCGGCCCGCAAAACGACCCCGCCGCACGAAATCGTCTCCATCACCCGATTCGTCACCTCCAAGACTTTCACTCCGCGGGCCGGGCCCGCCACCTTGACGAAATCCCCCGACATCTCGACCCACGCGCGCACGAAATCCTCGCAGATCCCCAATTTCGCGACGATTTGAGAAGCCCACGACAGATCGGCCAAGTACCCGTCGAGCAACTCGGGCTCGGATTTCATGAGGCCCGCGAACCGGGCCAAGAGCCCGCCCACGCACCTCCGGGCCTCCGCTCGGATTTCGTGGTCAACAGTCAACAGAGGCGGGTCGTCGTCGTCGTCGGTCAACATATACTCGATTTGCTCCTGGGCCGCGGCCCTGGCGTCCCCCCTCGCGGGCCCCGACAATGGTGATGTGGCGAGGCGGAGAGCCGACATGAAAACTCCCACGGCCGCTTTCGGGCCCACGGGCTTGAGTCGGGCCAGTATCAGGCCCGACTCGGCCAGGCCAAGGCCAAGGCCCGGAACGACTCTGAGAATCTCCTCCTCCTCCGACTCGTTCCAAGGGACGGCCTCGAGGTATTCCGCGCAAGCCGAGACGACTTGCGGGCTTCCGAGCCCGACCGCGGCCCGAAGCATGCCGAGGGCGTTTTTGGCATTACAAATGTCGGCCACGGTCGGGCTCGGAGGGTCTCGGTGGAGGAGCCTTAGGAGAGTAATGTGGTGGTCGAAGTCGGTTTCCGTGCAGTGGACCTCGACGCACGTGCGGGAGTCGAGGATTTGGCACGTGGGCCACTTGTCCGAGAGGCGGTCCGCGAAATACGAGCTGCTTTTTGTGAGAACGTGCGAGTGGCAATAGACCCACTCGTCACGGCCCTCGTGGGTTCGGATGCGAACAACGAGGTCGCTGGTCGATCGGTTGCCGATCGTGCCTGGCGTCATTGACTCATGATTATGCTATAAAAATGGATTTGGAAAAGAAGAATCAATGAAAGATGGAATTGTCGAGAAGTTGTGTAGAGGGTCGGGATTTGTAGAGATTTGAGATTTAGAGAGATTGGGGGAACTTACGGATGGTTCCATCAAATGGTCGTGTAAAGCTAAAGATAACAGCTTCAAAACAACCAATGTTGTACCTGTGGCATTAGCATATAAGTAAAAATGAATTCAAGAGAGGAACAAAACGTCAAAACCTGCGCACAGGCAAAAATTTCGAAAAGAAGACGGGCAAATTTTCTTCTCATTTTCTTCTACAACATGGAATTTTTCTCTAAAAACACAAGTACACAATTCAAATAACTCGAAAAAATGTCAAAGCGAGTGCTGAAATAGAAACAAGCAATAATTATCACTAATGCTTCAAACTCAATTGCTCCACTTAATCGCAGTGCATACAAACAAGAGATGTAAACGAGCCAACCCGAGCTCAATCTCCTAATACTCGAGCTTGGGCTTGAGCCTTTATCGAGCCGAGCTGAGCAGATAAACGAGCTCGAGCTCAACTCATTCATAAATATTAACGAGCGGAGCTATAAAAAATTACACAAAAATCCCTATTTGTTAGTTCATTTTGCATAACATCTCTAATACCAACAAAATTTAACCGAGATGTTCCTCATCGAGAATCAATATGGTAAAATCAGATATGAATGTTCATACTCTATTAACAATACCTGGATGCAAGAAGCAATTAAGCAACACTATTTAGGATATATCCACAGTTCATACACCACTATTGACACACTATATCTCAAAGCGAAAAAACTCAACGATAACCAGCTTCGCATAAGTCAAAATTCAATAGCTTTAGCAACCGAATCAAGAAATGAAATAAGACCACACAGTAAGTTCAATTCAACCGATGAAAATGCTCCTCAAAGACTAGATTTGGGAAGTGCAACAGATATTTCAGCTAAACTGGACTCACCAAAAGTGAAGAACAAGTCAACACACAAAAAAGTGAAGCAAACAATGGGTGTAATAACTAATAACTACTGAGTCAACTCATTTCAAACCTGCAAACAAAAACGAAGCATGAGCTGCAAGACCCGAACCCGAATACCCACTTCCTGCAACCCGCAATCCTTCAAAGACCCATTAACAAGCGGGTCCATGCACAGGATGCTGTGAACAAAATCAGCAATGTCAAATCAAATTCTGTAAATGGAAATGCAAAAAACACCGAACAACCAAAAAATAAATAAAAAATTTGATCTTCCCCAATACAAAATTCAGAAAATCGAATTTCTAAAAATTGGGTTTGTAATAATTTTCGCATAAATACAACCTTGACGTACTGAAAACAGCAGACTTTCAGCACACTAGCATATCAAATTGAGCTGCAACTAGATAATAACCTGCTTTACACATAAGTCAAAATCCCATAGCCTTAGCAACCAAATTAAGAAATAAAATAAGGCCACGACATAAGTTCAATTCACCGTTGAAAAAGCGTCTTCTCAAAGACTCTAAATTGGAAAAAATGCAACAGATATTTCAGCTGAATTTTGACCCAAACAAAAGGGCAAAACGAGTCAACACTCAACAAAGTAAAAGCAAACAACGGGACGAGTCAACTCATATCAAACCTGCAACCAGAAAACAGCGCATGAGCTGCAAGACCCAAACCCGTTACCCGCTTCCTGCAACCCGCAATCCTTCAAAGACCCATTAACGAGCGGGTCAACCAGCACAGGAATCTGCGAAAAAATCAGCATCAAATCAAATCCTGTGAATGGAAACCCAAAAAACACCGAACTACAAAAAACAAAAAAAAACAGAAGCGAAAATTTAGTCATTCCCAATACCAAGTTGAAGTTTCTGAAAATCGTTCAACCTTAAAGTACTGAAAACAGCAGATTTCAGCACACTGGCTTGTCAAATTGAGTTGAGGATTTTTCAGAGCCATGGTTCATCATTTTATGCAGAATGGGATTTTGCTCTCTTGCCTACCATGGTTGAGAACTTGAGTTTAACAGATCAGGAAATGAGTTCTCTCACGTTTGGGCCGGTCTAATGCGATTTGGGCCATATCTATATAAAATCTTTCGTGGACCAGTTTGGGTCAGCTTTTATGTATTGACTTGGACTTAGCCCAAAACAGTAATGACATGAACTTCCAAGTAGTCCAATATCTTGTGCCTGGCCGTGGGTTAATATATTCTACAAGCAACTTATACGTCAATAAATTAGCTTAGTTTTAGGGGTTTAATGCACCAAACCCCCCTGTATTATACGAAATCTACGCGTTTCCCCCTTGTATTTTAAAAATTGCGTCAGACCCCCTTCTATTAAGGTTTTGTATGCGCGAAACACCCAGATTTTGGGTGTTTCGCGCATACAAAACCTTAATAGAAGGGGGTCTGACGCAATTTTTAAAATACAGGGGAGAAACGCGCAGATTTCGTATAATACAAGGGGGTCTTGTATATTTTACCCTTAGTTTTAGTTTATACGCTGTTGAAACATTACGAGATATTGATCCGTGGCTGGTACAATCGTAATATATGTAGATGGATATTTTTAATCATCTAACACCTCCACACAAGCTTTAGACTTGGGCATTGTGACTAATTAATTAGATCGATAATAACCTTTAGTAAGCAAATGAGTAAATATTTTATGAAATAGCTAGTGTACGTAGTTCATAAAAAAAAAAAAATGTTCTTTCTTATGGTTCACGCACATAATTACCCTAAATTGTTATTGTCCGAGCTCATTAGATACACTCATCAATCATGTGTTAGTATTATGATATCATGATCTTTCAGTTACATACCTACAATAAATGATATGCTAATTTTCCGCCACATTAGTTGGCAGACGTATTAATGAATGATAAGAGAGGGACTACACAGTTGCCACATAAAGTGTTGCTATTTTAATAAAATTCATCCTAGTTAAAAATAGCACCAAGCACACTATGCACAATTAAAAATAGCGGTTCTTAGGGTTCTCACACTAAGGCTTGGTTCTCATTTGAACCACATCATATATATATATATATATATATATATATATTGAGTCACGCTCCGATGAGAATGACTCGTAATGCGAGAAATAAGAATAAATTATAGTCATTAGATCGAATTATCTAGTGGCTAAAAAAAAGTCAAAATTATATCTTCAGTAAGGATATTGTGGAATTTTTCCACACCACACCAAGGTGGGCCCCATTCCACATTAAAAAAACCTGCCAACCCAACCACCCCACCATTCAAACCGCACCTCTCGCTCTCTCACACACAAACATACACGTACATACATAACAAAATCGACCCACACACATTCACACAATCACCGGCCCGCCACCGCCAGTCCGCCGCCGCCACCGCCCGTCCGCCACCGTCGTCGCTCCTCCGCCCGCTCTATTCACCTCACTCTCTCTCTCTCTCTCACACGCACACAGAGCAAATCGGCACACATATCTCTGCCTCCCTCAGCCCGTCGCTATATCTCGACCTGCCGCAGGCGAACAGCGGTCGCCGGCGAGAAGCCACCTGACAGAGTCCAAACGATTGTCCGTCGGCAGCCGAACCACCACTCGCCGCCGACCACCTCGTTCGCCCAATCGGTTGCCTACAGATACCCAATACACACACAAATCGCGCCCCCTAGCCTGCGACTACCTCGTTCGTCGCCGACCTTCCCACCGGCGCTCCGCCCAGAGCCACCGAGCATCACCCACAACCACCGCCCACACCCTGTACTCACCGAGGACGCCTCCACGCCTCTGCGCAGGTCTGCCACCGCGCAAATCGCAGCACGCCGGACTTCGACCATTCCCCGCCACCCAGACCCGATGGCCAAATATTAATGACACAATCGCTGTCGAATTTCAGAAATCGAGACGGTCTCTCTCCAGCCACCACGAGCCGCCGATTTCGCCGCTTTATGTGGCGGATTGCCTCAAATTCTCTGTGGATTGCGGCAGCGACGATGACGGAGAAGGTAACTGTGGCAGAGGACGGCTGTGGCAAGGGGTTCGGTTGACATCGGCTAGGGGACGAGGGCATCGTGTTTCAATTTTGATGTTGGGCTGAGAAAAATCAATTGGGGATTAGGGGCTTTTAGTTGAAAATTGGATAATTTTTAGGGGTCCTAAGGCAATTTCAAACATTTTACTATAATTACAATTTAATGTATGGGCTAGATTTATAATTTACTATTAATCAACCTGTGCATTTGCACAAAGACGAATACTTTAAAAACATAAAAATATAATTCTCAAAATTGATTTTGATCAAGTAATTGCTATGGAAGAGTCGTTACAACTATTTTTACCATTTTTTATGCTAATACTTGGTCATTTTCATGAGTGTGTGACTTAAAATTTGAATACAATTTTGTAACTCCCTTGATTTATTTAAGATCATAATTTATTGCATTCAAGCAAGTTATTTTGTAACATAAAAATGAAATTGAATGTTGAAAATTTTGGAGGGAGAATAAAATTTAATGCATGGTAATAAAATTAAATGCTTTGTTGCTCCTCTTTATATATGTATAGATTAAAAAATTAATAAATGCACATTAATGTTAATTGATATGCTCAATATAAAAAGTGTATATGCGCATTAAAATGTCCGGTCTACATAATGCACAAAACCGAGAAAAATGATCGAAACCGGTCGTGATACAAAATTTAGTTCATGTTTTATATCGGTTGTGTTAGCGAGTTTCATTTTTTGGTTATTTTGAGTTAGAATATTTTTTATATTTTGTATAAAATAATAAAATATTAAAACACTAAATATGCATATAAATGAAATGCACAATATTCTTTGTAATGCACATTAAAAAATGTATTATAATTTAGATCATGGGTTAAATTAATTTATCAAATTATTAATAATTGCACATTAATTTATCAAAACACCTTTAATTACACAATAATTTGTCAAAAAATTATTGATTGTACTATATTTTAGATATGCTTGTTAAAAATACATGTAATGGGTAATACCTAATAATGTTAAACAATATTAATATTAATTTATGTGAACTTGCATTTTAGCGTTATAGTGTACGGATAGAAACGGTCGAAGTAAAATTTTTGGTGCGGTTTGGTTAACATTTGTTATTTTTAAAATTTCGGTTATTTCAATTCGGTTTCGGTTTTATTTTTAAAATAAATGAAATCGACCGACATATATAAAAAATATTATTTATATTATATATTTTGATTGAAATACACATTAACTAAAAATTTCAAAAATTGAGGTGTGCATAATAAATAGAGTGCACAATAATGTTAGACGAACTGCACATTAGTTTCTTTGGAAATGCACATTATCAATTATTAAATAATATTAAAATTTAGGATATTTCAATCTGAGTTCTGCTTTATTTACAAAAATAAAAAAAAATGACCGCCGTGCCCTCTGTCATCACCTCAATGCTCTCATCACCAACAATCTGAGTTCCACCAACAATGCTCTCATCACCTCCCCCACCGTCGCACAGCCCGCCGGAGGCGGCGACCCTGAGCTCGCACCAAATGACTGTCGTGCCCTCTGTCACCATCAAAATATTCGATCAAACACGCCTATCACGCCTATTTTATCTCCGAGAATAAATTGACCCAAATACCTGCAAAAATCAGACGGTCGCTGCCAGAGTTCCTTCCAGTCTGATTTCGAGCTAATTGGTCAAGCTTCGATGATATCGAGAGACGATTTGCCAAACTCGTCTTAGATGTCTTCTCGCAATCTACTGATTCCGAGTATGAAAAAACTTGAATTCGAGGACCGATTTGAGAGAGATTGATGATTTCACGGTGGTGACGGTCGAGTCGTCAACTTCCCTACGCCGGAGGGATGTCTGCCTTTCTCGGCATTGTCAGAGGCGGACGAAAACCCGCCGGTGCTGAAGAATAGTCCCTGGCCGACAAATCACAGGAAATCCAAAGATTGTGGGTTTTTTGTTAAAAAAATTTGATAATTTTAAGGGACCAATTTGCAATTTTATATATTTTAATGTATTACAATTTAATCCATGGGGTCAAAATTATAATTTGTAAAAGATTTAATTATTGCACCATATTTGGAGATAAAACATGCACACGGCATAATTTAAAAAATGTTAACTTATACTTTTAAAAAATATTTTTTAATATTTTAAAAATATTAAAATAATAAATATACTTTTATAATAATCAATTATAAATTATTTTAATTATTTAGGTTAATTCAATGTAAAATTATATCTACTAAATTTAGTTTTCAAAAATACATAATTTATACGTGGTGCACTTTATAAAAGAATACGTTGCACTTTATAAAACAGCACGTTGTACTTTATCACGACACTCCATAATTAACTTCAACACCTTTCCGCCAAAAATACCATCAACAATATTAAAAAATAGTTTTTAATATTTTAAATAATATTCTAATAATAAATGTACTTCTATAATAAAAAAAATTTTAACTTATACTTTTAACAAATATTTTTTAATATTTTAAAAAATATTTAAACAATAAATTATAAACTATTTTAATTATTTAGGTTAATTCAATGTACAATTATATCTACTAAATCTAGTTTTCAGGAAGACATAATTTATATAGGGTGCACTTTACATATCAATGCGATGCACTTTATAAAAGAATACGTTGCACTTTATAAAACAGCACGTTGCACTTTATCACGACACTCTGTAATTAACATCAGCAGTTTCCCGCAAACAAATAACATCAACAACAATAATTTAATATTTTAGAAAATATTAAAATAATAAATATATTTTTATAATAATAAATTATAAATTTAATAATAAATATATTTTTATAATAATAAATTATAAATCATTTTAATTATTTAGGTTAATTCAATGTACAATTATATCTACTAAATCTATTTTTCACTAAGACATATTTTATATGTGGTGCACTTTATATATCAAGGCGATGCAGTTTATAAGAAAATACGTTGCACTGTATAAAACAACACGTTGCACTTTATCACGACACTCCATAATTAACTTCAGCAACTTTCTGCCACAAAAACCACACAACATAAATAAAAAAAAAAATGGATATACATAAATCTTTAACATCAATCTCATCATTTATCCACACAAATCACAAGCATGCTAACGTATTAAAACAACAGTAGTTTACTTTATACATCAACATGATGCACTTTATAAACAACACGTTGCACTTTAGAAAACATCACGCTGCACTTTATCACAACTATCAGATTGCACAATAAAGATCGAAACCAACTGAACTCAAATTTTTTCAACCAAAAATAATATAAATAATAAATAAAATTATTATCATATTAAATATATTTTTAATATAAATAACAAATTATTTTGATTATATAGGATAACTCGGTTAACCAAACCAAGTAAACCAAATAATTATGAATATTTTCAATTTGATTTGGAACAAAAGTTCGGTTGGCTCAATCTGCACAATACAGACGACATTGTGCACCATATTATTGTACGAATTGCACCTTAACAATTGTTAGATGGCACAATATAGTTCGTTTGCATATATACAATATTTTTTTAACTAAAAAACTAATATAAAATATCAAATAAAAAACTATTAAATACTAGTCATGTTTTCTATAATAAATAATATAACTTATGTCGATTATTTTGGTTATCCATGTTAATCTACAAATTAACCGATTATGTTGAAATTTCAACGTCAACCGGTTAACAATATTTGTGTGTTCTATAGCGCGTTGATATCTTGATTTTTTTTTTAATGTGCATATATACACACTATTGTGCAAGTTATTTATCGTTGTTGTGCATTGCATATGACAAAATTGTGCCATTCTTAATTTTTTTTAATAAATTACATATTTAATCCATCAATTAAAATTAACTATACTATAAGTTTTGAAAATTTAATATGACTATCCATACACATATTATATAATTTCTTTTAACAATATACTACATCTATTAATTTTTTAATAAAATTACTATTTAAACCATTAATTAAATTACAACATAAATAGAACTCTTGAATTATACTACATCTGTTAGTTTTTCAATAAAATAAGTATTTGAACCATTAATTAAATTACAACATAAATAAAGTTCTTAAAACTACACATTTGCCCCTAAAAAGACCTAATTTTCTCTAAATCACCCCAACATAGCCCTAATTCAAAACCTGCAGATTTGTCCCAGCCACCACAACCGTCCGACATCACGCCACCACAATCTGCCCGAATCCGATCATTTCCTGCAGGAGGCGCTCAACTCAGCAGCCCGGCTGACAGTGTATGTGGAACGGTGGAACAGAGCCATTGGAATCCTCCCACGCAAACACGGCCGACTTGAGTTGGCCGGAATTGGGACACTCGACGGCGACGAAAGCGCTGTCGGTTTACACAGGGTGCTAGACGCACGAGGTGTTTGACGGAGGAGCCGGAAGTAGGTGATGGAAGCTTGCGCCCTGCTGTCAACGGCGAAGTGGATGTGGGTTGATGGACAGATCTCGACTGTGGCCGAGCCGGTGGAGGGTGGAGCCGTGGCAGATTGTGGCGCTGGTGACAGCACCAATGGCTGCGGTTTGGTGGCGGCGGACGGAATCCAAGGCTATCGATTGTGCTGTCCGACGGTGTCTGAGTTGTGTGTGCCTGTGTGTGTGAGTGTGTGTGTGTGTGAGAGAGATTTTAGATCTGAAATCAATTGGTGTGAATGAGAGTGATGAAAAGAAAGTAAATATTTAATTGGTGAGTGGGTCTCACATAATAAATGCGTATTGACCAACTAATCCTTAATTATTGGTCATATACACATATTTGACCACACTATGATCAAACATAATTACCAGATTGCCATTAATGATTGACCATGTTTTGACTTGATCTTAACCATTAATATGATTGATCCCATGGTGCAGATCCATTCTTATTTCTCGCATTAAGAGTCATTCTCATATGATCCCTTCTCTCTCTCTCTCTCTCTATATATATATAGAAGGGATCATATGAGAAAGAAGGATAGTGAAAGAAATGAGAATAAATCTGAATCCTTGAATACATCATATCAATGGTTAGGATTAAGTCAATCATTAATGGCAACATGGTAATTTAACATACACATTGTGGTCAAATGTATATATTTGAGCATTTAAAAGGGTAAAACGGACAATACACAAATTATTAAAACTCATCCACCCAGTGGGCCCCACCACCTCCACCATAACTAACCCTCATTTTCCTCTCTATTTCTCACACACACACACACACAAGATCTGAGAATCTATTGGGTTGCCTACCGCCGGAAAAGAAGCCCGCCGTCACCTACTGCCACTCGCCGCCGTCCGATGTCACTCGCCGCCGTCCGATGCCACCCGTCGCCGCTCCCCGCCGCCCTCTACAACCCGCAGCATCTCTCTCGCACTAGAGCTCCGTTTTCTCTGCCGTCCGTCAGTGCCAAAAAATCCGGCTCTCCCGGCGTCGACCGCGTCCTCCAACTGCCGGCGAGGTTCAATGATATCACGACGAATGTCGATATCGACCCGTACATCCTTTTCGTAGTCAATCGTTCCCTGCACTCGATCCGAGCCGACATGAAAAAACCGGTTAGACGGTAGAAGGAAGCCGGCGATGAAGCTGCCAGCCTGGTTCGAAGCTGCCTCCAAATTCGACATCTCATCGTCAATATTCTCTCCGTCCGCCGGCGCTTTCATTCTCCTTGCAGCACATACCGGTTAGGCGAGAAATTCCGGTTCCCATCTCGCTTCAGGCCGCCGCCGCTGCCGCCGGGCTCGGTCAAGTGGTCGTCGGCACGTACTGATGGTTGCATACGTCAGCAGCTGCGACGGGTTTCCATTTGAGGGGTTTAAATTTGACGGGAGCCTGAGGTCTGTGATGAAGAATTGTGTATTCATCAGTCTGTTAGGGGTTTCAATTTGAGGGGCTGTGTTTGTAAAATTAGATTAGTGATAGAGACTTATGTGCAAATTGATAAAGTTTTGTTTCAATTTGAGCCTGACTATGATTAATTGACTGTCCATGAAGCATTATCGGAAATTAATGGTTGAAATTCTTGATATGATGCATTAGTATATAAATGTAATAGTTTTTTGTTAGCTGCTCTTATTATTGATTTGGCTGTTGTACAGCTTAGTGCCATTTATGCTTCAGAAAATTATTGATTGATAAAGCCTGTGGACGAAAGTGACATTAATCGTATCAATGGTATTTTTTATCACAATCGAAACTAAAATGGAACATAAATGATCAATTTATTTGGCCAATTATTTGATTTAACCGAAATAATTGAATTAATTTATTATGTATATTTATAATATTGTAGTCAATATTTTAAAATTAAAAGTAAAAATAGATAATTGTTAATAGTATAAAATTTTTAATCGAAAATTTTAGTTTTGTCAATTGTGGTCGCTATTGTATAAAAAATATACAAAGTAATATTTTTTAATATAATTTAGTTTTTATTTCGGTTATTTAAATACAAAGAAAATGACATCGTACCGAATTTTCCGATATATAAAAAAATAATAATAATAGAACCAAAATATAAAAATTCGTAACGAATTTCTATTCATTGGATATCGTTCGATTTTGTGCAATCCGTATAACCTTAATGTGCACTTCCAATACATAAAAAAAAAGATAAAAAATAGTAGCATTTATAATTAAAAAATTTAAATTAATAAAAAAGAAACTGGTAATATTTTTTTCATATAGTTCGGCATGTTCGGTTATTTTGTTTATTTAACAATAACTAAATTCAACATTAACCAATTAATATTATTCGATCAATCATTAGAATTACTGTAATTTTAGTATGTGGAACATGTTGTGTTATAAGGTGCAATGTATTGTTGTATAAAGTGCAATGCATTGATATATAAAGTGCAATACTGGAATTCTAGTATTTTAACAGGAATGCGTATTTTTTTTTCGTGGATATATAATGTGATGGATAGTAAAGTATTATGTCACTTTGTTTTTTATATTTATATTGCGTAATATTTTGGTGGGAGTTGTTGACATTAATTGTGGAGTGTGGTTATAAAGTGCAACGTATTGTTTTATAAAGTTCGACGTGTTGTTTTATAAAGTACAATATGGTGTAGTATGTATAATGATATTTTTAACGTCCAAATCCGAACACGATACGGGCCAACCCACTGAACATTAAAGTGCAACTATCAACTTTCATTAATTTACAAATTTAACCCATGACCAAATTGCAATATAATTAAAAAAATTTTATTTTCAAACAAGTCCCTTCAACCTATCTAATTTACAAAAAATGGCCCAACCCCTAATTTCTCCTCTAATTTCTGAACGTTTCCAGTCTCCTCTAATTTCTAAACAATGTGGCAGCTTGTTTCCATTACTCGGTCTCGGCAGACGGCGCCGCATCAGGACGGGCTGAGACTGTGGGGGAGAGGGCGGAGATGGCAGCCTCGCCGGACATCGTCGACCTTGATCTGGAAGGCAGCGGCAACGAGTTTTAGACGAGGCGCGCGGCTGAGGAGGATTATACGGTAACGGCGGCGAGATTCCGACTGCGACCATGGGTGCCGCCGACGAGGAGTGGGTAACCAAGCCTCTGCTCGAACGGGCCCTGCACTCCATGAAGGTGTTGCCACTGCTAGAGGGGGATGATGATGGAGACGGCGGAGCTTGCGCGGCGGCGACCTCGACGGGATTAACGGCGATGACGGCGGCGGTTTCGCAGCGTTGAAGGCGGTATTGGCGGGCGGCAGAGTGGCGAGCGATGACCGGTGGAGGAATTGTGACGAGAAGGTGTGTGTGTGTGTCAGAGAGAGAGAAAAAGACGGTGGGGTGGTGTGGGTCAGAAAGGTTGGGGCCCATTGTGTGTAATTTAAAATGTCCAATGTACCCTTAATAAGTATTAATAAGTATTAATGTTTGGCTTTTTTTTAGCTATTGGATTATCTGATCAGACGACTGCGATGTATTCTTATTTCTTTCATGGAGCACCTTTCTCACTTGAACCCAACCCAATGTGTTATTATATTAACATGAAAAAATACATGTTATTAATAATTATGTAAAGTTATTTTAATACAACAAATAAAAATGAAATGTTTAGAATTATTTAACCCTCAATAGTATGTTATTTTTTAAGTTATGAAATCAGAAACACCAATAAATTTTTTTGTTTATATTAATTTTCTCAATATATGCCACAAATATATAAATTATTTTATTCATGCTACTAATGTAAATGTTGCATGGTTAAAATAAAATTTAAATCTCAATTAATTTTGAATGATAAAAATAACTTAAGAAAAAGTAATAATTTTTATATGATAGAAATATATGTCTAATTAATAAATATAAACAAAAACGTGTTTTATATCTGTGCAAATGCACAAAATCAAATACTAGTATTTCAAAACACATGATAGGACCTATTGCATTATAGCGTAATGTGATGTGTAGACTTGGTCGACCTTGACTTCAAATCAGGAACATTGTGCAAAAGCTAAAATGAAAATGTAGACATCGAAATTTTAATATTTTATTAATTGGTGTTTTTATTTATTTTTTGACATAAATCCAAGATAAATAAGATATATAATTAATAAAGTTATTATTTCTTGCCCACCAAGTCAAATCTTAAAATTATGAAAGAGATTATATCTAATCTTAGGATAAGGAAAGAAATTATATTAAATCAAGAGGATCAATCAAATTGATGTATTCGTCTCCAAGACTCTATCTCCTACACCTATAAATAGAGCTGTAACAATAAATTTTACATGTCAAACCTCACCTCATAAATCAACATCTCAAAAAATCAACATCTCAAAAAATAAATGCGCTCAAGTTGAAGATCAACGTTTAACTCGGAATCAATCCTCCTAGGCTTCGAAGTACGTTAAATGAAGAAGAAGGCCAAGAAGAAGAAAAAGAAGTGCGGTCCTCCAATAACTAAAGAGGTGACATCCATTCCTCTCAAATCATTCAAGAACATCAAAGACGTTCAAGCAACATTCAAACCGCGTCCGTCGAGAAGTTCAAACAACATAGCGTTTGATCCTGGAAACAGCTCTCAAGCCCTCGAATCAACATTATTCAAGTTCAAATCCGTCCTCTAGAAAGATCAAAGAAGCAAGTCCTCCAAGAAGTCGTATTCAATTAAATTAAGTCCAAACCATTTAATTCAGGATCAAGTCATCTGATCCCCCTAATTAACGTTAGACAAATTCAAGTTCAACCATGAAGGAGATCCAACCATCAAATACAGTTTCGAACATCTAAATTCAAGTCCACGAAATAAAGTTGTACAAAATTTTATGATTTTCATAAAATTCGTTGCTACAGATTTTTGGATCTTAGCTTTTCTATGCATAGTAGGAAATGTTTACTGGCTTGCATCAATGAAAAAGAATCATACTAAGAAAGGAATTGAAACCTTGTAGTGTAGAATCTTATTAATTTTCAAAAACACATCGTTCGACTTATTTTCCGGGATACAACATTTGCATTTATAATACAATAAGGGCGTTACTATTTACCGCCCCCCTTATTACTATGTACCGCCCCCTTTGGACATTTTTGCCCCTGCCATTTTTTTTTGCCCCTGAAGTTTTTCAAAATACTAAAACTAAAAAAAACTAAAAAATAAATTCTGGCCGACCGCGTGGACGGCCGGTATTGCCGGCTGGCCAATTTATTTTCTTTTTTGTTTACAAATCAAAATTTTTATTTATTATAGAAATTATGTTATAATTAGAATTTATTATTATTATGTGGAATTTAGAAATTATTATGTTATAAATAAGAATTTATTATTTTATAAAATTTGTTATTATTAATTTAGATCTTAGAAATTATTATGTTATAAATTAGAATTGGTTATCTTGTAAAATTATTTTTTACATTACTCGAAATTTAATTAGTATTAGAAATAAATTTTTATTTCTGGAAAAAGTATTATTTTAAAATATAACTATAAATCGTTATATTATTTAATGTATATTTTTGTTGACAGACAATAATTATAAATGTTATATTATATTTTTTGACAGATAATTAGTTTTTTCTACATATAATTAGTATTATGTTATACAGCATAATAATTTCTAAGTTCTAATAAAATGATATTAAAACTATATAAGATAATAAATTCTAATTTATAACATAATTCATATAATAAATAAAAATACGATTATTAAAAAGAAAAAATCGCGTCCTACCAGAAAAACCGGACGCGCACGGGCGAAACCGGACTGGCACGGTTACGACCGGTTTCGCCAGCCGGCCGACGGGATTTTTCTTTTTTACTTTTTAAAAAAAATGTCAGGGGCAAAATTATCCAAGGGAGGGGGCGGTGAATAGTAATAGGAGGCGGTGAATAGCAATTAAGTATAATTAAATAAAAAGGCAAATGCCGACGAAAAAAATATATAAATTCAGAGCCAACAACACAAAACAACATAGAATAATAACAATCAGATTTATACAAATCTTTATGTGTACAATGTAATGATAGGAAAATACTACAACATAATAACCGAATTGGAACCCAACTGAATTTGTTGACTTCTAATATTTTTTGAATAAAAATACATACTTATAAATTATAATGAAAAAATGTAATTCTTGATAATGAAGTCTCAAGAAACGATACGCACATGTTGTATGGGCTACAGATACCCAATAGACAATGGACCAATCACACAATCGGACATGAAGAAACGAAATTAGAAAATAAAATAAAATAAAGCTGGTTTTTTTTCTGAAGCCCAGCCCACTTTGAATTGGGCAAGCTCCACAAAAGACCATCATTGTCCAACAGCATAATACATGTTTTTCAACAACAAACATCAACAAGAAGAAAAATACATCACATACATGTTACTTAATATACTTATTAACTTATTCATCATTATTTGCTATCACACGCTTATTTATAATCCCACGTTTGGTCGGATGAAGGAAAGGATGAGATTTTTATAGCCAAGAATGATTTCCCGGAGCCCCACCGTATGGGCCGGGCCCAACGCCACCGTCAGATCTTGAAGCAACTCTCCACGGAGATACCGAACCCGGGATTAGCCCATTCACGAGACGGCTGCTGGACGAACGCACGGTGGATATGGTCAAATTGGAAGTGCTCAAAGCCAGAAAGGTGATTTGGGCCGCTATCATTTGGGCCCGGCCCATTAACATCTGTGAGATTAAGTACCCCCTTTAGTGATATACCACGACAACCTTCCGGCCCGGCCCATTTTCCACGGGTGGCCGCATTTCGGCTAGCAACGCTCGAGTTCTTGGTGTTGAGAAAACGGCCTCCGGTGCCCCTTGGGCGGCGCATGGCGTGGAGGTGGCGGGAGAAGTGCATGTACGGCTAAGGTTGATGAACGATCGTGCATCGTAATGAATATACTTTTTTATTGTGTGGGAAAAAATGAGAATATTTGTGTATGACGTGGACAAAGATTGTTAGAAAAATTGATCAATTTATATAATTGGTGGAATTATGTAAAGTAATTATTTCGAGAGGTATTCCTTTGAGATTTCAAAGAGTATTATTTTGAGGTATTCATTTGAGATTTCGAAAATTTATCAAATGATGTGGACTTTTAAAATTCCCAAGGTATTCATTTGAGATTTCAAAAAGTCTTAACAAATAAAGAGATATTTAACTTATTTGACACTGAGATTTGCCAAGAATTAGTAAGATTTGCTAAAATTTCAAAAACAAAAACTTGATACGAAATCTCATATCAAATTCCACCTCCAAATCTAAGAATTTCAAGAATTTTTGTTAAATTTGAAAATATCAAATAGTATCAAATCACAAAAAATCTTAAAATATCACTCAAAATCTCAAATGAATACACCTTTTATATTTAAAAAATTGAACATTGGTGGATTAAATGATAGAATATGCTTAAAAATAGAATCAATTGAAGATTTCACTTTTGAGTACAAAAAGTAGTTGTAAATTTGCCTTTGCTAATTTTCTTTCTCTNGCGCCTTGTGGGGCCCGGGAACCGGATTCTTCATCAACGCCCGAGCGCGCGACATCCTACGAAGCAAGATTCGATTATACTGCTTCGGATTCACGAAAATCGACCCTCCTTCGGTGCTAGCCAGGCTCAATGGCAACATGATACGCCCCTGTAACTAAATATAACAGCTAAGTGTTAGTAATTTCATCATACATTATTTGTTTTACTTGTTAACCATTACATTTTTTTTTCTACAGTGTATATACAACAAACCTGAATTTGAGCAACATGAGTCGAGTTTAGCTCGTGGCACGGCTCTAGCTCGGGATTTTGCGCGAAAATCTGATTTTCTCACGAAATTCGAACGAGCATTCGTATGAAATGATAAGTAATAACGAATAATGTGTACCTAAATATAATAATGTTTGAAAATGAATCAAAATTTTTTTACAGGTGAGTAGCCGAATTGAAGATTGAGAATCCTCTGATGCTCGATTGAGGCAGTCTGCATTTTTATCTTGATGCCATTTTCCCAGGCCTTGCAACCACCTGAATGGAAAATTGTTGCCTTGTTATCAAACAAATCTTCGAAATCCAAATCTAATCGAACTTTTTTTTTTTTTCTCGAATATTCAGTTTCGTTTACAACATTCTTTATATATACGAGTACAGTAAGATTGTTGTTAGATCGCCTAACGGTTAAACAACCATATTTACATTCAGTTTAAACTGAAATTGAAATGTCATACTTTAAAAAAACCATATATAATTGTTGTTAGAACGCCTAACGGTAAGACGAACATACTCACAATCAGTTCAAACTAAAATTGAAATGTTATAATTTAAAAAACAACATAAGCAAAAATAAACAAAAGTATGACATCTCATAACATTAATATGCATTTTGTTATTTGTTAAAAAATGCTATTGACGAGTCAAACCGACTAACAATTAGCTCGTCACATACAAAATTTGTGAGATTAGTTTAATTATAATTTATAGAAAATTTTCTTATGATTACCTTGTGTGGCATCCCCTGAAGCTGAAAGTTCCAAAGACTTGAGCTTCGACTGCACAAGATGGCCGCCGTAAGCCGCCACCGGCAGCTGCTCTGCCGCCCACCGTGGAATCTCCAGTGGTGGCCGGTTGCCGGAGTTTGGCACGAGCCCTTCGTGTTCTTTGAAAATGATGTTTTGCATGATCATGTTGATTATCTGTAATTATTCATATGTTAACTTATTTGTTTTTGCTCTGTTAAATAAACTAATTTTCTCGTATAATAAGACTATATATTAAAATTATAATATAAAGAAATAAGGAGAAAGTTTATTGTTTCAAACCTGAAAATTTTTGCTATAGTCCTCACAAGTTCTGAAGCATCTAAAGTAAGAATAAGAAGAAGAAGAAAGAAAGAAAAAAAATGCAATTTATTTCATTTGAAAGTGATTGCAATTTATTTGCTTTGAAAGTAAAGAGCGGAGCTTGTGGCTACCCACTTTACTTGTGGTCTTTGTAACTAAGTTTTGATCTATAAATTTAATTTACCGNTTTAAGTTGTTTGCACTACTTTTCTTTAAAAAAAATGGAAAATCTGGAAATTACTAAAAAAAAATGAAAGTAAGAGCAGATCAAAACTATAAAATCTTGTGAATTATCAAAAGGAAGACAATACTATGGATATATATGTTTAATTATATATATATGTTTATATATATATATGTTTATAAAAATATATATATATATATGTTTATATAATATTTAGATATGTATGAAATACTTTGGAAATAAAAAAACAATAAAGGGATCATCAACAAACCTGTGGATGATAAGTTTACAAGTGCCAGGAAAACAGTAGTCTCAAAATGGCCAAATCTATTTGAGAGTGATGACTGAATGAGAAATAACTAAATAAGTGAAATGTAGCTTTCATGCATATGTGTTATTTTATTGTGCATACAACTTACAATAAAAAACAATAATTCAGACTTGCTTTGTTTTTTACTTCCAGACAAAGTGCTATGATTTTATTGTTTGCTGCACTATTTGGAGCATTTATTGCTATATGTACTCAATTCTGAATTAGACTAGTTTCCAGAAATTAAAAAAAATAAAAAATAAAAATGTTAACAAAAAGTAGAATTGTAATTGTACTTGTAATATATGGTACATTAAGCTTAACTGCTAAAATTTAACTGCTATAGTATTAGGCTATCTAATGACTAACTACAGTTTATCAAAATATTTATAATATTTATTACTCAAATATTATATTTAAAAAAATATAAAAATAACAGTATAATATTTCATATTATGAGTATTGCATTTCAATTAAGTATGATATTTCAATTTAATAATACACATATATATTGAAAAAATATAATTGTATAATTGTTAATTGGATTAGAGAATTCTTATTCTGACCAATAATATGTCATTTCTTCCATTTAAGTCTCAGCTACCTTAGCTAAGCAATTAAATAGTTNAGTAGATTTGTTTAGCTATGTTTATCATCTTATTTCTAGTTAACTAGGTCTTCACACATGCTAAAACGAATATATTTCTCACATTTTCGATATTCAACCAGTTTGTATCAGTTTGAATGTGACATGCGCATTAATTAAGCATATATTAAAAAAGAAATCACTATGTTCTAAATTCCATATGCCTATTTTTTTCAGATTAACGGTAAATTAAAATTGAATTTACTTTTGGTATTTGTTATTACCATACACTCATTAATACACAATATAGAATTGATCACCACACTATGCTTTAATTTTCCTTACTAAAAAAGTTGGCAGAATAATATTAAAGCAGGAATTGAAGTTGTATCGCCTTAACTTTGCAGTACATTTTATAACTTTTAATTACCAAAGTGTATAAGAAAATGCAAGAAAACAATAAACATTAATGAAGGAGACATGCTTAACTCAAATATGCATATAAAATGATTGCAATGATATTTTTCTGATGTGTATTCATCACCAAAAAGACTATGGGTGCATTTATACAAGACAATGGATCATTCGAAGACCTTAGACACGTGTCCATAATTATTAACTAAACGAGATCGAACTCAGCTCGTTTATTAATAATAACAAGTTGAACTCGAGCTTTAACAAGTCGAGTTATATCAAAATACATTAAAAAAATATTTTCAAGTCTTAACGAGCCGAGCTCGGTTTGACTCATTAACTAAAAGATAGTTAAACGAGCACGAGCTCGGGCTTTAACCTTTATCTAGCAGAGTTGATTTGTTAATTAAAAGAGCTCGAGCTCAATCCGACTGTTTGAGTCGAGCCGTGCCTACGTGCATCTCGTTTTGTTTAACAACTAGTTATAATTATTTCAAAATAATCTAGAGCAATATTATGGAATCAAGCATCAAGGGCCGGTGTTGACTGATGGTAAATTAATCTTTAATGACCTATTTAAGAAAATCTAGAGCAATATTTTTAAATAATTAATTAACTAGATCCTTCAAGTAATTAAAAATATAGATTAAAAATTTAAAATTCAAACCGTTGACTTTTATTTTTCAGCAAATCTAACAAAAATGTACAAAAGGACGGTGGTTGACTTGTTCAAAATTCACAATAGATTCTATAGGCTCAATTGCCCTCATTTTGACGGGGCATGGCTTTGGTTTTTTTTTTTAAAGGATGTTTTTGTCTTTTAATTACTTTTTTTTTTTAAATCATTTTCTTAACATTTTATGGGTTTTAAATAATCCCAAATGATAGCCTAATTGAACCACTTAAATAAATAGATGAAAATGCATGCGTTCTTTCTGAAAAATATATAATGATATAAGAATAAAAAAGTTGAAGAATGAAGTATTAGTTTTCCTAAATCTGGAGATTGATATTAGCATTTATCTATATAAAATAAGAATAAGGTTAAATTATTTTTAGAAATAGTTTCTTGCAAAAATTATTAATTACATACTACAAAAGGTAAGTTTTATATTATTTTTAAGTGTTTCAAATAAAAATAAAAAGAATTATTAAATGCATTACCATAATATTTGTTGTTGTTTGTATTCTAATTCTGGACAATACATATATTTTTATTTATTTTTTTACAACCAAAATTTAAAACTGCAATGAAATTAGACATGTTATATTCTCAATTTTTTTTATAAAAATAAGTTATAAATGTGTGATATAAATAACAACAACAGTTCAACTCTTTCCATGCAAAACATAACAAACTTTTTTTTTTGAATAAATAGCATTTAAATTTTCAGGATACACGATTAGTATTCAAACTCATCCTTTACATATACAAAAGATACGATATCTACATCCTTATTTATCACATGAAAAAGTTTTACATAATGAATCCAAGCAAAAAAAATGATGCCTTATTCAAAAAAGATATATACAAGATCCATGCAAAATGAAATAGATATACACAAATCAATTTATTTATTAACTATTTTTTTCTTACAAAAAATGTGATCTGCATGTCCGATCCATTTAGTTAGTTTTGAGCTACAAATGATAAAATATCATTGTTTTTTAAACATAATTATTTCTGTAATTATTTTATAACAAAAGATACAATCGAAATTCTAAATCTCTGTTACAAAAAATGTTCTAAATATTGAAATGGATTTAGTATAAAAAATGAGAATGAATGGGAAAAAAAAAAAGATATATTCAAAATCCACAATTTTTAGGTAACAACTTTTCTTATATTCTATATAAAATTAAAATTTACCTGATAAATCATATCTTTAGTATTTATCACAATATTACATATTTTCACTATAACTTTATTTCGTGGTGTTAACATTCCGAAAATCAGCAAAGAATTAGAGGAATGAGGTGTCTATGAAATTCGTAATTACCAAGTGGAGATCAATTTTGGTAAATATCGGTCTACAGTTGCCAGTGCAAAATGATTTTGACAAATGTATGATTTTTTCATGACGGGCATTTTATGACTAATTGACAAATGCTCTATACATTATAACTATTGATGAATAGCCTTCAATTTATAAATTTTACCAAAACAAATACAGTCTATGCATCGTACAGATTACGTACTAATAACCATTTAAACAGAACAACTAATGGCATGATTGGTATGATGGAATGGAATTTCGTAGGAATGGAATGAATTGAAGAATGAAATGATTATGGGAATGGAATGAAACATATTTTGTCATTGATACGTTTGGTATGCAGAAGAAATAAGACTGGAATGGGATGACATTATCATTATTTATTATAAAAATAAATAAAAGCTTTTTTTAAAAAATAATATACATTTAATAAATTATATATAGATAATTTTTTAATAATATATTTGTAATAATATAAAAATAGAATAATATATTGTTTAATAATATAAAAAATAATATATTCTTAAAAGTAATATATTTTTAATATATAAAAAATAATATTTTTTAATCTTATTTAAAAATAAAAAGTAATATATTTTTAATAATATATGTTTTATTTTTTAATTAAACAGTAAATAAAAGCAAGTTTTTAATTTTTTATTTGAATTTTATTTTTTAAAATAATATATTTTTAATAATATTTAAAAATAAAAATTAATATATATTTAATAATATATGTTTTTAATATTTTTCAATAATATATTTCTAATAATATATTTTTAAAAGTAATATATTTTAATATATAAAAAATAATATATTTTTAATAATATATAAAAATAAAATAATATATTTTTAAATTATATAAATGCTTTTTTTATTTTTATTTTTATATAAGTATTTAATGTATTAATTAAAAAATAAATAAAAGTAATTTTTCAATTTTTTATTTAAATTTTTTATTTAAATAATTTTATTTAATATATTTTAATCATGATTTATAATATATAATATATATTTATTTTTTATTATTATATGTTAATTTTATTTTTTAAAAAATTGATTCCTATACACGTGGGAATGAGAAAACCTTCCATTTACGATGGAATGGCTAATCCCATGGATATGGGTTTTGCCATTCCCATTGGAATGGTCATTCCTTCCCAAAAAATATACTAATCATGGGATCAAGAATAAGTAAGGGAATGATCATTCCATTCCCATGTCATTCCTTCCTACCAATCATGCCATAAAAATTGTGAATGCTTTTCATGATAATAATTGTGTTCAAAATTTTATGGAAACATTCATAAATTGATATATTCATATATATGTCAACTATATTTATTTTATTACATACATATCGATACCATTAATAAATAATTGTGTATCGTTCTATAAATTGGTTTATCTTGCTAGAGTTTGGTTAATAATAAAACATTAATTACTATATAATTAGGTAAATTTCGTGATTACGTAACAAAACCCAACTTGTAACCTACAAGTGGAGTATAGAAAATTAACCAAGAAAAAAAAAAACCAAAATAGAACCTTTCCTTAGTATTTGTTTTTAAAGACTTTGCAATCCACGTAAGACTTAACATAATATGATCAAATAAGCCAGCAGCTTTTGTTAGTTTTCAC